TTTTCCCACAGTTTTTTGTACAAATGTTAAAAGCGAATAAGTTCATCCTTGATACAAAGCAAAACTGTAAAAGCCAATGCAGATACCACATGCTTATGTAGTTAATACAGATAGCAGCAGAGTATCCTACATGTCTAATCCACTAAGTTTGGAGTTTAAGTGTCTAACTGCATGGAGTTTACATGCAGGACTTGTTTACTGTGTGTACATTTGCTGGGCTCAGTTTGCAGTCAGCCTTTCAGCCAGAACAGCCAGTCCTTGGGTCGTTCCTTGATTTGAGCAGCTGATGAAGGATTGTTGTTGGCAAGTTATGCGAGTACCAGAGATCCACACAGGGCGCTTTGTTAATGTGACTTTTTGTGAACATCTGTATGGCACTTTCACAGAAACTCATAGAGCCAGTCTGGGCCCACCGTGGATGACCTGAAGCGGCCCTCCATAGACCAGCGTCTTTAGGGCACTGATCCTTCAGGGCTGAATCGCTGCTCTCTCCTGAGACTGCTCTCCTCCTCTTTAGAATGATAATGACGAGAATAAGCTGCCTTCTGGTGTCGTGGGCCTGGTATTAAATGTGAAGGAGACTGTGTGTGCGCCGGGGATGAAGGATGTCAGAGCACAGGTGTTCTCCTCTCTTTGCCCTCAGGGCTGGTCTTGCCCCAGTTCTCCCATCTACACAAAGTCCCTGCTTGTTCTCCGTCTAATCGCTCCATCTACCCTTGACATTCCTGCACCGCCAACTCTCCCTGCTCATCTGAGGATGCTGAATTCAAGCACGCTTTAGTGGGATGAGGACAGATTTTTCTGTATAAATACACTTGTCTCATCAGTTTAAGCCCCACTAAACCACTGATTGGGATTCAATTTCCTTGTTGCTCAAACTGTAATGTAGCTAGGTGTGGCGCTTTACCAGACGCCTTTCCCTCCAGGAGGAAGTGATGAAGCAAAGCCTCGGTGTGGCCGAGTTAACATTTAACTAACCATGACGGACGGTTTTTATGGACATTACCAACTATAGAGACAAAAACACGTGTCCGATGACAGTGCAGTAAACTGAAAAAATCCCATGAAGTCCTTAAGATTCAAATATTTACAAAGCAGCTTCTGAAGAAGTAATTAGGCCAATAAAACTAAAATCTGGAGCATTAAATTGGCACTTTAACCTTTAACATAGGCTCAGTGCTGACCCCGGTGTACTGGCCATGAATCCAGCCTGGACTTGTTAACTGGGACCAGCCCAGGGTGGTTATTAGAAACCTGTAGCATACTCTAATACACACCGTGAATGACTGACAGGCGCAGACAGAGGCTGGTAGACAGACAGACTACTGATCCAGTGGCTGACAGCTAGTATTCAAAGTGAACCTTCACACACATATGAAGGCTCATGTGTAGGTAAACAGTTTATGCTTCATTGTTTTCATGGTTCACAGAGAATCAGCCCAAGTCTTAAATATGAGAGATCGTTTTTCTGAAGCCTCGGGCGATGTTACCTGGAGTATAAGTAAACAGCAAGTAACCAAGCACCAACAAACACAGTCTCACATTGTTAAACACCAAAGTGCTGCCTCAGGCCGTTGTACTCCTGATGACTCCCAGCCCGGCTGCCCGATATGGGCCTAATGCAGTTGTTCATGTGCTGTATGCTGTGCAACTGGGAGGAAACTTGCTGTTTGTTCTTTACTTAAAGTGAGACCACGTTGATGTAAAAGAAGCAATAAGTCATTCTTTCCTCTACAAATGAAAAGTTGATTTCACCACCAGTTAAATGCGCCTCCTGCTCAAATCATTACTCTCAGATTTTCTGCTCCTTCAGCCTAATTCGCTCTTGTATGACCAGTTCCTTGTGGTCGCTAATGTGGGAAATCTGACCTTCATTCAGTTCACAGACAGGAAGTGTTCTTTACAAATGCCTGCCAACTGTAATATGATTTAGAAGGTATCAGTGGACAATACATGTAACTCGCTCAGTGTTTAGTGGAAGTATTAGAAATAAATCAAGTCCAGTGTGTTTATAGGTCACATTTACAACAACCTGAGTCGACCAAAGTGCTGCACGTGTTATCAGTGGAGCACCAACAACATGAAACAAGTAAGACAGGATAAGACGTCCCACTTGAAGCTACGTTTACTGCCAGTTCACACAACAGGTTGTTCCAAACTGAAATGTAAAATGCACGTTAAGGTTTTAGTGTTTCTATGCATGGCTGTATAAAAGGCATGGTACTGTATTTATATATGCATACGTGTGAGCTTGATTCCTGCCATCATGTAGATTCAGCTGAGAGTCTGAATGTCAGTAAAACTCTTGTTCTCATGATCAAAATAAGACATCAGGAGCCCACATGGAGGAAAGGCACTCCAAAGCATTTTGGGGCCACACCGAGGGCTCACACATCACACACGGGTCAAATATTAACTCAGAGTCAAGCGTTGCTGAACCCAAATACTAACCCCGAACAGGGCAGGTCCTTTATTGTCTTTGTGCGCTCTTCTACTTTGACCTTCACTTTATGGTCCTTTGTCACTTATCAGCCGCACGTGTTCTTCTCACCCGTCCCACTGACCCATTTGCCTACCAATCATTTGTGTGTTAGTCAAATTAGAGATTTTTTTCTTCATGCTTCATGTAAAGCGCTGCAGTGAGCTTATTTCTCAGCTCCTTTGTGTCGGCTTGTGTCCTCTGCTGTATGTTCTGCTCTGCTGTCAGCCACAATGCTGCACTACCTGTTCCCAGACTGAAAAGTAAATGAAACCCGATCTACCTGACGTTTGAACTAAGAGGTGGGGAAAAGGAGAGAATGCTGCAGACAGTTTAACTGAGCCTGTCTGAGCCGAAAACAGACCTGAGCGCCAGCATGTATAAACACGAAAAGACAATGCAGGAAAACGGATCCAGACACCTGAGAATCTGAACTGAATATACAGAAAACTCCTCATGAAACGAGCTGCTGCAGGGCTCACTGATGGATGTAATCCACCTGCGCTGTCACATTAACAGCTCTTTGCAACTGAGCAGTGCAGGAAATGAGGTTAGCCAACATCATTTATTACAGATTAACTCAGAAGTGTGAGAGAGTTCTGGCGTTTGGTTTAAGCAGAATCTCTTAACTCGCAGCACTTCTTAAAATAAGTTATTTAAGCCGAAGATCAAATGAAAATAAATGTCTAAGTCAAACATTTGTGAGCCTTGTAGTGTATCAACAGAAAGCCGCACGGCCTCGGGGCAGCATTTAGAGCAAAGGTTCAGTTTACCTGTTAGATGATGAAGATGTCAGACGATCCTCTGTGGATGTGTGGCTGCTGGCAGCTCACGCTCAGCTGAGAACGTTTGTATCCGGATCCCAGCAGGGAGTTTGGACTTTTAGTTGTGTCTCTGTTCAGGCTGAGGTCCCCCTTCGTGCTCTAG